CATCATATTACCGGCGAAGCGTGAGGCACCTACTGCGACCACCAGGGGCCCCCAAGAGCAACTGTTTTTTTCTTTTTATCAATAAAATAATATTTTCTATATATAGTAAAAACAAATCACTTCATAGTAAAATTGTATGTTTTTGATATTATAATGACAGAAATTATTACTAAAAAAAACAAAACAAAACAACAACAAAAGAAAAACATCAGCTCCACTGAGGGGGCCTTTAATGGCCTTGGGGCCCTAAGTGGCTGCTTAGTTTGCTTATGCCTTGGACCAGCCCTGGTGGTTTTACGTCCCCAAAATGGACAGATGTTATATCTGTTGTGCCCCTCCAGAGCGCCGCTCTTCTTCTGGGTGTGGGAGGGTAATGTTCTCCCCCTCCGTGTGTTAAAACCGCATAGTGAGTTGCACCATAACATGCACACACTGCGCATGTTATGGTCTTAACTTCTGAATCTTTATTTATTTCTTCAAGATAAACTGCCGTCTTCTCTGTTTAGATTATAAATTGATTAAATGGCTTATATCACCAACCATTGAAGCCACTCTTTCAGTTTGGTGGAATTTCAATGATATTATTAATTCAAATGTTACCACTTCAAAATACACACCACTTTGGAATAATCCTGATCTCACAATAAATATAAAACTCCTCTTGTTTAGCTTGTGGGTCACTAAAGACCCACACATTTGAATATATTTTTGATATAATAAACTCCTTTCATTTTCAGAATTAACTAAACAATATAAACTTGATGATACTCAATTTTTAGAATATCTTCAATTAAAATCTCTTAAAGTAAATATGACCTGGAATAAGTTAAGTTTGTGCATTATAGAATCTAATGCACAAATTACAGAACTAATTAAAATTGCATCTCGAAAGAAAATTCAGTCAATATATAAAATGTTAAACAGGATTGATTCAACGATATCCATACCTACATTAAAATGGCAAATAGATCTGAATATAAACCCAGACTGTAACTTCTGGATTAAAATTTGCAATAATACCTCATATATGACAAAAAAACAAACAAACTTGGTAACACTTTATTTGAAGGGGGTTGAATAAGACTGACATGACACTGTCATAAACATGACATAACACCTGTCATGAACATGAATAAGCCTTCATGAATATTTATGACTGTTGTCATAAAGCGTCATTCGGTAAATTATGACACTTTTAATACAAAGTTGACATTATTCAAAATGTCTTTGTTATGACAACTTGACATTAACCAGGAAATCATTACTGTTTAAACTTTACCTTTAATAACATAAAGTTACCTAATTTTTAAAGTGCAATCAGTAATACTTTTATAACAAATTTATATCAGTAATGATTTCAACCCCCTTCAAATAAAGTGTTACCAAAAACTCTAATCTTCAGCTCATTCAATATAAAGTATTTCACAGAGTCCACTACACAACTCAAAGCATGCATAAAATGGGTTTGGCTCAGTCTGAATTGTGCAGAAATTGTTCACAAAACACCTCTGATACTTTCATGCTTTATGGTTATGCAAGGCTGTTCAAGAATTCTGGATTCTCTCCAGCAAGTTAGGCTGTCTCTTCCCATTTTCACCATGTCTTTGTTTATTGGGAGACACCACCAACATTATTAATGATGTTCCAAATACTAAAGAACTACTTATCGATTAAACCATTGCTTATGAATTGGAAAACAAAGACCTCCATCAGTGTGACACATTGGAAAAATTTACTCATTGAACACATTTCAGTGGAAAATGTGTTCATATAAAATCATACAGATTTTATATGATTCTCATTAATACTGTAAATAACATAATTTATGTATTATGACCATTGTTTTTACCTGTTCTGCTCTTCTTCTTTTTCCTTTTTTCAGCATCATTCTTCCCTTCTCATTTCATGTAGTTCCTGTATGCAATATAGCAAATTCCACTCAGTAGAATTAATTGATCAATTCCATTAATTGATCCATCTATATCTACTTGTCTTTAATAANGTATTGNTATATTNTTATTATTTCCAGTGATAATACTTTTTTGTTTGTTTGTTTGTGTTTTCTTTTAACTGCTGATAGTGTGTTCATATAATATTTTTTGCTCACACACTCTCATACACACACACATGCACATGCAGTAATACTCATTCTTTGCAACACACACATACAAGGCGCCATTTCAACCAAAGGTTAGGAATGTGTTTCTGAACCAGACGCTCCAAAGCGTCCGGTCCATAACTGTTCAACATGCTGTCAGCTCCTGGTCAGAAAGACACATTTTGTTCAGTGTCCATGAGATGGTATTCAGAAAGGATTTTTTTATTGATTGATTTTAGTTGCCTCTGCGACGAACACTTTGCGTAAAGTCTAAATTGTCTGCCTATGTGCACCAGTCAAGGGTGTTAATTATAACCTGTCAAATGACAAATTGGCTACCAATTTTTCCGTCGTCTTAAAAAAACTTGTCAAAAACGTGACAAGTCCTTGTTTGTGTAAAAACCAAGGACAATTTTTTTTTTTTTTTAAGTTTTTTCAATACCTAGCATATGTGTTCCTGTCTCAGACTGTACCATTCTCTAATCCACTTGCTCCAAGTCATCATGAGAACTCAAGTCAGTAGTAGGACAGGAAAGACTCCTCTATAACCTCCATTCACCAGCATAACAGCATAGCTAAAGCACAGACACCCTGAAAGGCTGTTCCTACGTGCTGCAGATGGGGTTTGGGGGACAAACTTGTGAAACCAGCCTAGCATGAAAGTTCATGGTTGGAGGCAACATGGCCGAAGGCAGTCAAGGAAGTCTGGTTATGCTGAAGTGTGGGTGCATACATGCGTGTCTGCTGGATAAGCATGCATGTAGATGTGTTTGCTTTGATGTACTTCTGTGTTGACTTACTTGATCGTCTTTGCATGACAGCGAGGATAGAGAGGTGGAGCAGCACGGCGATTTTTGGTGTTCTGCCTGGGACAGAAAGGGAAAGAGCAACACTTCAAAGCAATCCTTCCTCTGTTAGCTGAAGAGAAAATGTTTTTCAGGTTATTGACGTTTCTTGCTATGCAAATATTATACCCGATGCTCTCTCTGCTTTGAAGGATGTAAAATAATCCAACCTAGTGGAAACAATAAAGAGAGGATAATGGAACCAGTTTGATTCAGGCATTGGTTCCAGTTGGCGAACATCCTGCGAGTCGCTTCATGTGTCTTTCTGGCAGTTGTTCACATTCCTGGGAATTCTCTCAGGGTTCACGGTGACATATGCATTTGTTTGGACTGGTGTGTCAGTCAGTTAACATGTAACAGTGTAGGGGTAGGAGGTAGCAGCTGTGAATCTATGCGCTGTAATTGGCTGATGACAAATTAATAATTGAATGTATTGAAAGGCACAGTAGTGGAAAACCTCTGAGTGAAGGAGTTGCTCCATACGAGACACTGTGATTAATTTTAGCGACCGTTTTCTTTCTCTCCTCATCCAGGAGAAGAAAGATCCAAGTAAGACCTCCTGGATATGAAATTGAACCTGAAGACTTTGTTTTCTCTATCTGTTGTTTACATGTGGAAGGGATTTTAATTGTCCTGTGCTAATGTTCTGCAGCACCAAGGAACATAAAGTGCGAGAAATTAATTATGCTGCAGTGGACTATAGTGAAATATTTTTGTTATTATTCTGACAGCTCTAGCTAACAGGTGAACCATACACAAGGTATGGAAACACACAGACAAGCACAGCATTTAAACATTTTTGGTTGCTCTAGGTTGCAAAGGTGCTGGGTTTCTCTTATGTGACGTTTGCGTCTATCGGCCAGTTGGCTTGGGGAAAAATAGAAATATACTCATGTTTTTGTTAATCTCAAGGTGTAAATATCCTTCAAGGTTTTTAAAGTAGGCCTTTAATATAAAGCAGCAATAAAATAAATAAAACTCATGTTGTGTTCAGACGCGGTTTGAGTCAGGAGCGTCTCTATGTGGACGTGTGTCTAGAGCGCGTTGAAAAGTCTAAGCACATTTTGCACACAGAAAAGATGACTCCCTCAGTTCATATGGTTCTCAACAGAGCCCTGACAATTTAGTTTGTCAATGGAGTATGTATTTAAAACACCAATTACACCATACTGTGGATTACGCTATGCATCAGTGACATATCTAATTAGGGCAAGAAATAACTGTGTTTGATGCTGTTCTAAGATATAAAACTAAGATCTGAATGTTGGATCAGGGCCCGCTGCCTGAGCTGGAACTGTACCATCTGTATTGATTCATGTAATAAATGTCCAGAGAGAATGTTTATTAGACATCACTAAGAATAAACANCCAATATCTAACAATTTCATTTATATCAGGTGAGTCTTTGTCCCCTAGAATATGGATTGGTACTGGACTGATTCTATGCCTTCAAATAATTTTAAAAAAAGATTCAGATAAGTTGATGTAAAAATAATGTTTGTTTTAGCCACAAAATGATTACATTAAGCAGCAAACAACATATCCCCAACTACAGCATAGAGTAGCTAATCGTTGTAGCAGCTATGTAGCCTGACATAAAAACATTTGGCTAGACAATGTTAAACATTGAGAAGTTTTAATTATTGTTATCAAACGTTATCAAACACGGCATTTTGAAGCCAAAAATACCTCAGAAATATACAGAGCCAAGCAGGAGAATCAACTCATTTAAAGTTAAAACTCGGTTTTACACAAACACAAAGACCCCAGCATAAATGTTTGGCTGTTGAACTGGACCGTTCAAGCTAATTCTCTATTAGCAGCTTTACAAATCTTTTACATTACCAAGGCACATTAAAACAAACCTTTATCTTGGCTTTTTTCTAATCTTCCTCTTTCTTTTCTCCCTCCCTGAAGGATAAGTCCTTTTTTGAGACATTGATTTGCTTACTTAACTTCTGATGGAGCTTTGGATAATGCACATCATATTACCGGCGAAGCGTGAGGCACCTACTGCGACCACCAGGGGCCCCCAAGAGCAACTGTTTTTTTCTTTTTATCAATAAAATAATATTTTCTATATATAGTAAAAACAAATCACTTCATAGTAAAATTGTATGTTTTTGATATTATAATGACAGAAATTATTACTAAAAAAAACAAAACAAAACAACAACAAAAGAAAAACATCAGCTCCACTGAGGGGGCCTTTAATGGCCTTGGGGCCCTAAGTGGCTGCTTAGTTTGCTTATGCCTTGGACCAGCCCTGGTGGTTTTACGTCCCCAAAATGGACAGATGTTATATCTGTTGTGCCCCTCCAGAGCGCCGCTCTTCTTCTGGGTGTGGGAGGGTAATGTTCTCCCCCTCCGTGTGTTAAAACCGCATAGTGAGTTGCACCATAACATGCACACACTGCGCATGTTATGGTCTTAACTTCTGAATCTTTATTTATTTCTTCAAGATAAACTGCCGTCTTCTCTGTTTAGATTATAAATTGATTAAATGGCTTATATCACCAACCATTGAAGCCACTCTTTCAGTTTGGTGGAATTTCAATGATATTATTAATTCAAATGTTACCACTTCAAAATACACACCACTTTGGAATAATCCTGATCTCACAATAAATATAAAACTCCTCTTGTTTAGCTTGTGGGTCACTAAAGACCCACACATTTGAATATATTTTTGATATAATAAACTCCTTTCATTTTCAGAATTAACTAAACAATATAAACTTGATGATACTCAATTTTTAGAATATCTTCAATTAAAATCTCTTAAAGTAAATATGACCTGGAATAAGTTAAGTTTGTGCATTATAGAATCTAATGCACAAATTACAGAACTAATTAAAATTGCATCTCGAAAGAAAATTCAGTCAATATATAAAATGTTAAACAGGATTGATTCAACGATATCCATACCTACATTAAAATGGCAAATAGATCTGAATATAAACCCAGACTGTAACTTCTGGATTAAAATTTGCAATAATACCTCATATATGACAAAAAAACAAACAAACTTGGTAACACTTTATTTGAAGGGGGTTGAATAAGACTGACATGACACTGTCATAAACATGACATAACACCTGTCATGAACATGAATAAGCCTTCATGAATATTTATGACTGTTGTCATAAAGCGTCATTCGGTAAATTATGACACTTTTAATACAAAGTTGACATTATTCAAAATGTCTTTGTTATGACAACTTGACATTAACCAGGAAATCATTACTGTTTAAACTTTACCTTTAATAACATAAAGTTACCTAATTTTTAAAGTGCAATCAGTAATACTTTTATAACAAATTTATATCAGTAATGATTTCAACCCCCTTCAAATAAAGTGTTACCAAAAACTCTAATCTTCAGCTCATTCAATATAAAGTATTTCACAGAGTCCACTACACAACTCAAAGCATGCATAAAATGGGTTTGGCTCAGTCTGAATTGTGCAGAAATTGTTCACAAAACACCTCTGATACTTTCATGCTTTATGGTTATGCAAGGCTGTTCAAGAATTCTGGATTCTCTCCAGCAAGTTAGGCTGTCTCTTCCCATTTTCACCATGTCTTTGTTTATTGGGAGACACCACCAACATTATTAATGATGTTCCAAATACTAAAGAACTACTTATCGATTAAACCATTGCTTATGAATTGGAAAACAAAGACCTCCATCAGTGTGACACATTGGAAAAATTTACTCATTGAACACATTTCAGTGGAAAATGTGTTCATATAAAATCATACAGATTTTATATGATTCTCATTAATACTGTAAATAACATAATTTATGTATTATGACCATTGTTTTTACCTGTTCTGCTCTTCTTCTTTTTCCTTTTTTCAGCATCATTCTTCCCTTCTCATTTCATGTAGTTCCTGTATGCAATATAGCAAATTCCACTCAGTAGAATTAATTGATCAATTCCATTAATTGATCCATCTATATCTACTTGTCTTTAATAATGTATTGATATATTGTTATTATTTCCAGTGATAATACTTTTTTGTTTGTTTGTTTGTGTTTTCTTTTAACTGCTGATAGTGTGTTCATATAATATTTTTTGCTCACACACTCTCATACACACACACATGCACATGCAGTAATACTCATTCTTTGCAACACACACATACAAGGCGCCATTTCAACCAAAGGTTAGGAATGTGTTTCTGAACCAGACGCTCCAAAGCGTCCGGTCCATAACTGTTCAACATGCTGTCAGCTCCTGGTCAGAAAGACACATTTTGTTCAGTGTCCATGAGATGGTATTCAGAAAGGATTTTTTTATTGATTGATTTTAGTTGCCTCTGCGACAAACACTTTGCGTAAAGTCTAAATTGTCTGCCTATGTGCACCAGTCAAGGGTGTTAATTATAACCTGTCAAATGACAAATTGGCTACCAATTTTTCCGTCGTCTTAAAAAAACTTGTCAAAAACGTGACAAGTCCTTGTTTGTGTAAAAACCAAGGACAATTTTTTTTTTTTTTTAAGTTTTTTCAATACCTAGCATATGTGTTCCTGTCTCAGACTGTACCATTCTCTAATCCACTTGCTCCAAGTCATCATGAGAACTCAAGTCAGTAGTAGGACAGGAAAGACTCCTCTATAACCTCCATTCACCAGCATAACAGCATAGCTAAAGCACAGACACCCTGAAAGGCTGTTCCTACGTGCTGCAGATGGGGTTTGGGGGACAAACTTGTGAAACCAGCCTAGCATGAAAGTTCATGGTTGGAGGCAACATGGCCGAAGGCAGTCAAGGAAGTCTGGTTATGCTGAAGTGTGGGTGCATACATGCGTGTCTGCTGGATAAGCATGCATGTAGATGTGTTTGCTTTGATGTACTTCTGTGTTGACTTACTTGATCGTCTTTGCATGACAGCGAGGATAGAGAGGTGGAGCAGCACGGCGATTTTTGGTGTTCTGCCTGGGACAGAAAGGGAAAGAGCAACACTTCAAAGCAATCCTTCCTCTGTTAGCTGAAGAGAAAATGTTTTTCAGGTTATTGACGTTTCTTGCTATGCAAATATTATACCCGATGCTCTCTCTGCTTTGAAGGATGTAAAATAATCCAACCTAGTGGAAACAATAAAGAGAGGATAATGGAACCAGTTTGATTCAGGCATTGGTTCCAGTTGGCGAACATCCTGCGAGTCGCTTCATGTGTCTTTCTGGCAGTTGTTCACATTCCTGGGAATTCTCTCAGGGTTCACGGTGACATATGCATTTGTTTGGACTGGTGTGTCAGTCAGTTAACATGTAACAGTGTAGGGGTAGGAGGTAGCAGCTGTGAATCTATGCGCTGTAATTGGCTGATGACAAATTAATAATTGAATGTATTGAAAGGCACAGTAGTGGAAAACCTCTGAGTGAAGGAGTTGCTCCATACGAGACACTGTGATTAATTTTAGCGACCGTTTTCTTTCTCTCCTCATCCAGGAGAAGAAAGATCCAAGTAAGACCTCCTGGATATGAAATTGAACCTGAAGACTTTGTTTTCTCTATCTGTTGTTTACATGTGGAAGGGATTTTAATTGTCCTGTGCTAATGTTCTGCAGCACCAAGGAACATAAAGTGCGAGAAATTAATTATGCTGCAGTGGACTATAGTGAAATATTTTTGTTATTATTCTGACAGCTCTAGCTAACAGGTGAACCATACACAAGGTATGGAAACACACAGACAAGCACAGCATTTAAACATTTTTGGTTGCTCTAGGTTGCAAAGGTGCTGGGTTTCTCTTATGTGACGTTTGCGTCTATCGGCCAGTTGGCTTGGGGAAAAATAGAAATATACTCATGTTTTTGTTAATCTCAAGGTGTAAATATCCTTCAAGGTTTTTAAAGTAGGCCTTTAATATAAAGCAGCAATAAAATAAATAAAACTCATGTTGTGTTCAGACGCGGTTTGAGTCAGGAGCGTCTCTATGTGGACGTGTGTCTAGAGCGCGTTGAAAAGTCTAAGCACATTTTGCACACAGAAAAGATGACTCCCTCAGTTCATATGGTTCTCAACAGAGCCCTGACAATTTAGTTTGTCAATGGAGTATGTATTTAAAACACCAATTACACCATACTGTGGATTACGCTATGCATCAGTGACATATCTAATTAGGGCAAGAAATAACTGTGTTTGATGCTGTTCTAAGATATAAAACTAAGATCTGAATGTTGGATCAGGGCCCGCTGCCTGAGCTGGAACTGTACCATCTGTATTGATTCATGTAATAAATGTCCAGAGAGAATGTTTATTAGACATCACTAAGAATAAACACGTAATGTTTTTGAACATTAAGAGTGGTAGACATATTTCAATCTGGAAAGACTCAGATGAAGAAAAAGGAACAATTAAAAGATTCAATGACCGCAATGAATAACAGATCTTTGGCGCTCGGGCCCCGGCAGCTGATCTGAGCTGAGATTTGATGTGAACTCGATGAACATCCCGATAACCGATTAGGGATGCTCTCCCCCCCAGGGCCCGACACTGGTGGTGGAGGTCTGGAAAGGGTGCTATCCTGGAGAGCCGAAGGATGTGGGTGGAGAAGGGGCGGTGTTGGGTTGAACGCAGCTGGGAAGCGGCTGACGGCTGACGGCTTTGGTGTGGATCCTTTTATGCAGAGCTTCGGAGATGAGCATAACGCCGATGGGCGAACGGAGGTTGAAGGTTCCAGGTTGAATTTTCGCTATCAGCTACATAATTATCACCATTATCATCACCTATTTAATTACAAAAGTGCTTTAAAACCAAAGGACACCCAAAGTGTTGTACAGCCTAATAATAAAAAAATTAGAAAGTAAATAAAAAAGCAAAACTTGAAATAACTTTATTATCTCATTAAAAACTGTATTAACAATATGCATTCAGTAAAATAATGCATATTGTTAATAAAGTTTGCCCAACATTGCATTTGAATCTTTTAAATTCACATTTGTTTGCCATTTTCTTAACTACAACTGAAAATGCATTTAGCTTCTTCTCAGTCTCAGCCGAATTTGTTGATTGGAGAGAAAATTGGCTGGACAAGGTTGCATGGATTCACTCAGGCTTTATGATCCA